TCACTTCACGGACCACTTGAGGTCGCTCACGGACCACTAGTGGTGCGCGGACCACACTTTGAGTAACACTGCTATAGATCCCCCAAGATTCAGCACCCGATTTGCGATAATTTCACTATTAGTAAACAGCAGTAACAAGGTTTACCCACCACCAGCTGATCTCTCAACTGTCCAAATACAGAGAATGGTCCTAATATCGAAGGGACAGTTGGTTGACAGCCTAAGTTGTAGTCGGCGTGACAGTGACATAACAGTCAGCGTACATAGCTAGCGCTTCAATCCGCTCTCCTTGAAATTTGATTTTATTTCTTACCGCCTCGTGGTCATCATATACACCATTATTACAAAACTAACTTCACCTCCCTGCAGCCCCCGGACAGCTTGTATCGTACCCCCTCACCTGTCCCACGATCACCGGGTCCGGGAGGATTTGGATGCCATATTTCATCTCATTTAACTCCTCCAAATTCAGGAACGCCGAAACAGGAAGAAGACACGTCAAAAAGAAAACGTACAAGCCTCTAAACCACCGCACCATGGACGCAGCCATATTTTCCTCGCATCTCACCCTTAATTCCTGTTTTTATCGTTGGCTTGCAATGTATCATAGAGTTGACACGGTTTACGATGATTGGATTTGAGGAGATTTTAGTTTCCTCGTAATTGGACCATAAGCAATCAATCTACACGTTTCGTTTAATGATTGGTTTTATTTGTTTACAATCCCCGCCCACAATGTCAATGAACTGCTTAGCTATTGGTCAAATCACCCGATTACCTGGACAGCAGGAAAATGATCCGGAAGTGTAAAAACAAAACAAATACGTATTTCTCATACTGTAACTGTCTCATAGGTCGAGACAGTTACAAAATTGCGCATGCATTACAACGTGTATTCGCTACGCAGTTTTCTAAAGTTTTGTTTTAAAATAATAATTAAATATGTGAAACATGCATTATTTTTTTTAGCATTTTTAAGTATTTCAGGGTAAAAACACACCGAGCTCCCAATTACTGATTTGCCAAGTACATTAAGAGTGCAACTTATACTATAAGCCAAGGGTCTCCAACTCCAGTCCTGGAGAGCTACTATACAGTAGGTTTTCTGACCCACTTGGCTACTGATGAGCCACACCTGCTCCTGGTATTTACCTGAGAACAGGTGTGCCTCATCAGAAGCCGGGTATGATAGAAAACTTACTGTATAGTAGCTCTCCAGGACCGGAGTCCAAAATGCAGTTTTTTCAGGTGTCCTGAACTGATTTTGAATATAAAAATTATTTTCTTTTAGGCTTATTTGCATGTTTGTTTAAGGTTTAAAGATTACAAAATGAATGAAACTCAGAGATTTCTAAATATAACAAATTTTTCTTGAATATGTAATATTAAGACCCATTGCTCCAGAGCCATGTTTCCCCAACCCAGTCCTCAGGGAACCTGTCTGGGGTTCAGAGTCATGGTAAAATCATCAGAAATATTCTAAAGTGACTTGTAAAAGTACTGCATACAAACATTTAGCATTTTTTCTAAGATAATGTCACAGGATTCTGGGGAAAAGAATTAATCAGGGTATCCATCAGTCTTAAGAAATCTACAAATCCATATTGGGTTCTGTTTTGCTGAAGGACCCTGTTGAATTATATTAAATTCAGGATATTTTATTGCATTATGTGTGACAAATCCGTTGAAATGCTTACATGCTCAGCCACACCTAATACTTGGATTGTTGCCACATTATTGAAAGATATGATAACATTGTAATGCGACACGGAAAGATTTAGTCGGAAAGTTGCTTAGCCGAAGTGAGTAATGACAAGTGCTATTCTCCAAGATAAGATCATTAAGTTAAACACACAGATGGCAACTAGTTCCTGGAGTGAAGTTGCACACTGTACTTTGCGACGGAACTGCTCTAAAATATATAGTTGAATAATTTCAAATTCCATGCGTTATTTTCAATAAGGCATGGGATTTTGGTGAAGTGTATACAGCACAACACAATACTCATCATGATAATTTCCCACATGTTGCAATATATTTTAATGGCTGTGTTAGGGATTTATGTGGTCCAGAAAAAGACGTCTGTCTTGGATTAAATGTGGACCAAAACAGACGGAGTAACCCCAGCCTTATTTTCAACGGCTATTTTTGCCCTAAATAAAGGCCACAAGGGGCCAACCAGATTTAGCTCAAAAAACGGTCATGGACGTCTGGTGCTCAGTGGTGTGATGTCTGGTCAAGAACGCAGGAACCGGGGAATGAAGGTCGGGAAACGGGAGTCCAAAATGAGGGATTTATTGAGGAAAGCACAAGCCACTAGCACACGACACGGTATAGACGTTAATGACAGATCTGGGGAAACAGACTTTGAAAGCGGACTGAAATACACAAGACAAGCCAAAATAACAGGAAACAACTGGTTACAATTGGGGTTTCACATGAGGTAAATGAAGAGGCGTGGCACACAGGAGGATCGTATGAGCAGTTCATGACAGGTGGGAAATTGTGGAAAGCCAGCAGTTGGGTTAGGATGGAAGGGAGGCATTATGGGATTGCTGTCAATGTCTTAGGCCTTAGCCATGAAGATAATTGTGTGACATGCTGCCTGCTAAGCATGCAATATGTTTGAGCTTGTCTTCTGAGCGCTTTGGGTCAAATCATGAGGTGCCTGGGTAACTGAGAGGCAAATAGGCAACAAGAGTGACAAATAGGGAACATGTGGCTATGCCTCAAGTCCGTTGAGATCAGAAGAAACTGGCTGAGAAAAGCAAGAGTGGTTGGGATGGGGGCTGGGTCCACAGGAAGACATCTGCAAAGGAAGAGGAGGTGAAAAGAAAATGGGCCTGAGTTATAGAAAATGGAAATAGAATAGAATGACTCTGGCAAAAGGAGGGAGTCATGCTATTGATCATGCGTTGAGATATGGTAAATTGTATTAATCAAGAGGATTTTGTATGCATAAGGAACATATAAGCTTAAGATAACAGTAGTAGCAATAGTATGAACTATGGCAGAGCTCTTCAAATCTGGCCCTTGATTCTAAATCCAGGCCTTGTTTTCTGTTCTCCCAGGTAGTTACTTTGATAATTACTGATTCTGATTGGACTACAGAGGCTTCGTACTTGGCTCACAGTTAAAGGAAGGCTGGAAAATCAGCAGTGCTTGGACCTGGAGGACTGTGATTTGAGTAGCCCTTAACTATGGGAATATAGATTCAATCGTGAATGAGCTCTGTGACAGACCTTAAGCGATGAGACAGGGGAGGTCAGGCAGTGCAGATTGTGCTGTGATGAGAAACGTACATTGAAGGGAATTTAAATCACATTATGATCACTGGATGGAGTGACCAGGGGTAACCAGTCATAACTGGTATAGTTGATTTTCTTTTTATTTCAAGTCAAGTGGCCCTTGAGGTAGCAACAAATTATAATTCACATAACCCTTGAAGTAATAACCAATCACAACTGATGATAGGTTATTTTAGGTTATTTTAGATAGGTGATCTGTTTTTTTTTTAGAGAAGTAATGTCATATGTCAATTGAAAAATGTATATAAACTGCTGTTTTTGTCACTCAGTGTGTCACCACCTTGGAACACTGTTGCCTGTGCTTCTTTTCCTGCCAATTAAAGGAACTTCACCTTACAAGTCTCAACTAGACTTGTTTTTTCAAAAATTTCAACAAGTATTTCAGTAAGGGACTAGGATTGGTCCATTAGAAATAATAGTAGTAATATTTTATATCTTCCACAAAATGCATTATGGAGGTGCACTTAATAACATTACTTTTTTTAATCGCACTCAGTTTGAGCCACATTGCGCTCAGTCAGATCTGATGTATGTAAGCCAACAACCATTAGCAGCGTAAGTGGTTGGAAGATGAATGAATGAATAAGACATATTTGCAGTATAACAACTAATTTAAACATTGAACACTAGCTGTTGAAGGCATGTAAAAGTTCACCCCCCCCTTTCCCTGGTGAGGGTCACATTGGCAGTGTGCTCTGCAGGTCGGTCTAGTCATCTTTCTCCATAGCTATATATAGTAAAATCCGCTTATAATGGATTTCAAAGGACCTGCCAAAACAGTCCGTTATATGCAAAGTATGTGTATCTGCCTGGCTGTTTTGCTGTTTTTATGGCTCATTTAGCTAACTATTATAATTTATGCTTTAAATGTTAATGGTCTGTTAATCTTGGTCCAGTCCGGGGGTGGGGGAGAGGGAGAGAATGTTAAACAAAACGTATGAAAATACTGATGTACCCTGTTAAAGTGTTAACCTGTACTTGTGCAATAAAGTATGGGAGGTATTTTCTGCAACAAAAAAAAAGAAAATTAAAATGATAAAAAAATAAAATACAATCTCCACTTTGCCATTTACTTTCCAAAGTCTGTGCGCAAAAATCCTGCAAAATTTAAAATGAAATAGCACCATTTGCATTTAAATTTTCCACTCATGTATGAGTCAGATGTGAAAAATTAAAAAATAAAATTAAAAAC